ATAATGACCTCTTGATAAAAAGGGGTACAGATCCTTCAGTTCATGAATGTGATGATTGGGTGTTCATGCCTTATGCATGGAATGTGCCTCCCTCACAAGTTCATACCACGTGGGCCAATTACCCGTTTTACCCAAAAAAAAAAAAAAAAAAAAAAAAAAAAGAAGGGGCACAGCTAGTTTCTGTATAACTGTTCTGACTCCAGGCACTGCAGCAGCAGGCAGTAGACAGGGGTGCCTGTTAGAAATCCTTCTGGGTGGTGGGGTGAGGTAGGTAGTTGGAGATGTGATCTGGAGTTCAGAGAAATAGAAGCAAGAGAGCCCAGTGGGAGACTTTCCAGCTTACAGAAGGATTGTAGGTAGATGTCTAGGACTGCATACAAGAAAAGAAAAAAAAAAAAATACAAAGGATAGAATGCTGGCTAGTGTCAAAAGGTCAGGGTGAGAAAGAAGAGCCAGTAGGCTCTTTCATATAAAAAAACTCTCCCCATTCCACCCAGAACTTCTCTGCCTCTTTTATCTTTTAACATCTACACATTTCATGCATAACTTCAGACCTCAGGTCATACATAACTTCCTTTGTTTTTAAATTCAGCACATTGTGTCAGGATTATTTGGTAAATAATAGAGTAAATTAGTCTTGGCCTTCATTATTTTTCACAGGTAGAAATAGCCAACAAACAACTAGGGACTCATCCGCGTGGCTGATGCTAACAAAGGATCTACAAACTGTGGTACAGGGTTTCAGAGTAAATCCTGAGGGGATTTGACTGACCTTGGCAGATACAAAAGTTACATTTCTTGTTATGTAGGTCTTGCTTTATCATGGTCTCAACCATCCAGCAGAAAAATATAAAAATGAGTATAAAAAATAAAGCTATATTAATAGCTGAACTAGAAAATGCTCAAGTCAACAACTTCTGACATTGCCAGTCCTATGGATAACCCACTATTATTATGGACTACTGGACCATAGTGGATTATTTTGCTGAATTCACACACCTACAATATTTAAATGACAATGGAATACCCATGTCTGACAAAACTAAACAAAAAAGGGGATACAATTGAAGGACCATTTTGTATCTGTATATACAAAATAGCCAGATAGATATACAGCTACTTTCTCTTAATTCAGCAAGAAAAAAGATTTGTACTAATAGTGTTTGTGGACAGGACATCATGTCTGCATCTTGAATAACCACTACAAAGACAACAATATGCAATGTATTAATTATTGTAACTGTCCTACTAATCGGTTCTGAAACTATCTCATTGCTATTTGTTTGCCAATAAAATTTTAAAAAAACAACTAGGCAAGTAAACACAGTAAGAAGGCAATTACAGAGAGAGAAGCCAGACTGGACTGAGACAACCAGGAGGCAACACTGAGCATCCCCCAGGGGTCTCTTTAGACAGTAAGGCAAGTTTTCAGTGTATAGCTGACTGCTGTGCTGATAGCAGAAGTAGGAAACTGAGCAGGAAAGGTACTTCCAGGCTGGCGAACTGGGAAAGGCTTTATTTGTTTCAGGGACTGACCTCCCCTGCTCCCTGGAGTCAGCTGGGCGCCCTTGCTCTACTCTTGGGTAGCACTTAAAAGCCAGAACTTCTCAGAGTGCATGGAGATGTAAATCCAGCTGGACTCCTGATGCATTCATAGGTCCACTCAACTGACATTTATTAAACAGGGTTAAGTAATATGGATACTGCTCTGCAAGTAATTGCTGGCGGATACAAAGATAACTGAAGTCTGCATGGGGAAGCTGGTTCATTTGCCTACACAGGGCTGGCTCTGTCTTTCTTGCCATTGCCATCTTGCTCACCCTGTCCTTCTCTTGCTTCCGCTACTCTCTCTATCCTTTGCCTAGGAAAGAATGAGAGAAGATGACCTCCCTTGTGGGGAAGTTTCCTTCTATTTCCTCCCAACTCTTTCTAGTTTTAATGTAGCCTCCTCTGTTCAGTCTTTTCTGGGGCATTTCCACCCATGCTCCATAGCTGTATTCACTGAAGTGAGTTGAACAGAATATTGGGCCAACCGTGCCCACAAGAAAGGAGGCCCACCTCCGCTACCTGTTGTTATGCGACTTTGGGAAATTTTCTCCCTTCAGTTCAGATTCGTGTACCCTCCTTCCCAAGCTTTTGTGAAGAATGTGTAAGGAAGTAGTTGGTAGCCTTTATGGCAATGTAGATTATGAAGCATTATTAACATTTGTCTAGAGCAAACTGCAGACTGGTTTGCTCTCTCTCTGGACTGATGGTCCAGAGAGAGAGATAGTTTTGAGAACAATGTGATCAGAGAAAAAAGGAAACCCCTGAAATTAGAGCAAGGAGAAGAAACAGAGAACTCTAAAGATGCCATTTCAGCCAACCAAATAGCTCAGCAGATTAAAGCACCTGCAAGCAGGTACAGGGGCCAGAGGTTTGATCCCCGGACTGCTGTGCCGGTCCCACCCCTGGGCTGAGTTGAGATACTGACTGAGACTGGGCATGGTGGCACACGCTGTCAATCCCAGCTCTTGGGAGGCTGTAAGCAGGCAGATCACCACAAGTCTGATCTAGTAGTATGACCCTGAACACCCTGTAGATCCTTCCCTAAAATACAGAAAATTAATAAATAAATAAATAATAAAGATGTCATTTGGTCTGGGCCTCCCCAGACATCCATAGGGCAGGCTCCCAAGGTTTGAGTCAAGATCCTAGGGAGAAGTCAGAGGATTAAGTGTTCTCTTCAACCCCCTTTCATGAGCCCAAGTTCTGGCCCAAGCTTTAAGTTAGTTGGAGGATACATAATTTCTTAGTGCTTGGTAAAAGGTGACCATGAAGGTAGTGACTCAAGAGAACACAGATGGATAAAATGACAGTTCTAGAGATCAGAAACTGTCACTGATGGCCATACATGGGCAAAGTGACTGGCATGAGGGACGGGGTGATAAGGCAGAAGTGGATCTGGTAGGAAGGACTTGGAAAGCAGGCTTTGGGTTTGGATTTTACATGATAGTGCACTGAAACTTTTTTTTTTTTGCACTGAAACTTTTTTAAAAACTTACTATAAAACTCATACTTTTTAAGTACATAGTTCAGTGATTTTTAGTAAATTTACCAGGTTATGCAACCATTACCACTGTCTACTTTTCAAACATTTCCCTTGCTCTAGTAAGATCCCTCCTGGCCATTTAGGGCTAATCCCCAATTCCATATCCTCCAACAGGCAAATGACTTTACTTTCCAATTCTACCAGTTTACCTTTGCAGGACATTTCATATAAAAAGAATCATACAATGTAGTTTATTGTTTCTTCCCTTTTCACTTACCACAGTGTTTTTTTTTAAGTCCCTCCACATTATAGCCTAGTATTAATATTTCATTCCTTTTTGTTGATGTATAGTGTTTAATGTATATGGATATGCCACATTTACTTTTCTATTTTCCAATTAGTACATCTGAGTTGTTTCCACTTTTTTTTCTTTTCATTTATACTTGGAATTTACAAATAATGCTGCTATTAGAAGCACCGCAATCTGAGACTTCAAGTTATATTACAAAGCTACAGTGATAAAATCAGGATGGTACTGGCACAAAACAGACAAGATGATCAGTGGAAGAACAGAGGATGCAGAAGCAACCGCAGGTGCATTCAGCTACCTGATCCTTTTTTTTTTTTTTTTTTT